ACTCCCCTGGCGCAACTTAAGCCCATTCCCCCTCGTCCTGACACAGGTGAAATCTGATAGGACTTTTGCAGAGGGTAATGCATATATTTTTATTTTATTTATTTTATTTTATTTTATTTTATTTTATTTTAATTTAATTTTATTTTATTTTATTTTATTTTATTTTATTTTATTTTATTTTATTATTTTATTTTATTTTATTTTATTTTATTATTTTACTTTTTAAATTTTTATTTTTCAATATATATTAATTATTAAGGATTTGGGAGAAAAATAAAATAATCTACATGATTTTAAAAATGGACATTTATTTTTGATAAGGGAAAGTACCCTGTTTTTTCTTAGCAATGGATGAATTAGTGATTATAATTTCAGATGTGGTGGGAAAAAATAAAAGAACTACAGTTTTTAAAGGAAGACAATTTTTAGTGTATGCAGAGGAGCAAAAACTCTAGATATGTTTACCTAAGTTTCAACTGCATTTTCTTCTCTAGATAATTTTTATGAAGCTGAGGCAGCTGGTCAGTTTAATGCAAAACCTATCTCACTTGTGTTTGCATCATCCTGTAAGTGCTGTTGGGGCTAAGCCAAACACCTATTTGTTAAAAATAAATAAATAAATAAATACATAAATAAATCTTCACTCCAGAGTTTCCAGAATTGATTGTGGCCTCAAAGTTTCTTCTGCTGCAGACCTGATCAGAAATTAGAAGAAAAGTATGATGATACCTGAGGCATAATTTATTGACTGGTTATTAATGGGAAAAATAAATAAAATAAAATAAAATAAAATAAAATAAAATAAAATAAAATAAAATAAAATAAAATAAAATAATAAAAAAAAAAAAAGGAAAAAAGTTTTGAGCTCTCCTGATACTGAGTGTAAAAAATCACATAATAGTAAATGGGATCACTGCTGTGTTAATAAGCCTCTTTTCTTTTCTTTTTTTCTTTTCTTTTTTTCTTTTCTCTTCTTCTTTGCTTTCTTTAGGTTTCTTTTTTTTTTCTGTCTTTCGTTCTTTCGGCTTTCTTTCTGTTTCTTTCTGCTTTTTTTCTTGTGTGGTTGCTTGGCTGGTCTTTTCTTTTCTTTCTTTCTCTTCTCTTCTCTTCTCTTCTCTTCTCTTCTCTTCTCTTCTCTTCTCTTCTCTTCTCTTCTCTTCTCTTCTCTTCTCTTCTCTTCTCTTCTCTTCTCTTCTCTTCTCTTCTCTTCTCTTCTCTTCTCTTCTCTTCTCTTCTCTTCTCTTCTCTTCTCTTTTTCATTTGTATTAGATGGTGAAAGTGCAAGAAACACCCTCAAATACTCAATAGATATTTATGATTTTAAGCTGCTATCTACCTAGCCTGGAGCAGGTTACTATAATCCAGGGATTATAATAACAGCTAAATGATCCACTAACAGAGGAGTGCAACTCACACAGCATATTACTTTAGTTTTTGTGCAGTCACAATAAAAGCAATGAACTTACTCCTAGAATAAATTACAATTCAGTGTAATGGCCTATAGACCCATAGTGTGTTGAAGAAGTTAATCAATGTACTCAGAATTCCTCTCTCAGTAGCAGTATCATTAGTTACATGATCAGAACTTTATGAGATTTGTGCAGTTCTAGAATAAGTACCTTAAAATATTTTTAACAGCAGACATTACTTTTACCAACCTCCCAAATCACTGTTCTCTCATCCAAAAAGTTCTTTGTTTAAAAGATGTAAAAATAGGATTGCTAGCAATATGCAAGTGGATCATGTGTTAAAACCCATTTCTTATAACGTACCTAATTTTCTCTTTCAGAGGTGTATAATTACAATGGCTAACATAACACTCATACTAATTTATGCCATATACACAGCTGATCTGTCACAGAGCAATCTTTGCATAACACTTCTTAGAGAAATCATAAGCTATTAGTAGAAGTGTGAATTGTATATGCCCACTTGCTTAAAATAGATAATGTAAAAATTAATGTGCTTTAGCTAGTAGACTAGAAAGTTACTGTTTATTATTTAAAATGTAATCCTGCTTAGAGGCAGCCTCCATAAACTATATGGAAGAGGAATTGTGGTCAGGCTTGCTAATCAGGAATTTAATTGTGTTGTCTAAAAAACAGATATTCAAGAATATGAGTGTAGTGCATCTATATACATGACCACATATTTTTTTTTAATGTATATACATGTCGTTTGTGTCCATATAGTGCCTCTCTGTCTCCCTATAGTAACTATATCACAAACTTAGTAATTAGCATACTACATTCATTTGTTAGAGTATATATACTCTGACTTTAAAATACAAATGTGTACAGTTTGCACAGTGACTGACTACTTGCTTTTGGAATTTTACAATTGTGGTACTCCACTCACATCCTCATATCTCACAGACTCTGACTACCCTGCATTAATGTTTGCTGTGATTTGTAAAACAGAAGCTGGATGTTTGCTGGTCATGCACAGTAAGATCCATGTACATCTGTAATCAATCTGTAATCAAGCAATAATTCAGAGAAGTGCATGCCAAAACCTCTACTCATACGCTGTTTAGAAAGCATCCTATATACCTCATCCATACCTTACCACGTTTCTGTTGAAGTCCACTGAAAAGGTTACATTAATTTTGCAATTGGTAACAAGAAAAGGGGAATTAATGCTTCTGAGGAAAGGAATAACCTCTTTAAAAAACAGGTTGGCACACACTGTCGGGAACGAACAACACTTAGGCACCAAGTCTCATACTGCACAGCCATTTATTTATTTATTTACTTATTAGTTCACAAGACTAACAGGGAATTATGAGCCTGTATAGCAAAGTAGATGCCTAAGCACACTCAAGAATCAAAGAAATTCAACTGACATTTGGAGAAAATGGGACTGAGAATTAAAAATAAATAGCAAGCTATGCTCTCAGAATACCACACTCATGAACTTTTTTTTTTTTTTTTTTTTTAATCTGAAGAGTATTATTTCTCTACATACAAGATTCTAATGCATAAAATGCTGAGAGTGAGATTCATTTGACTGGCTAAATTTGGACAACTACAATGTAGTACTCTGCAAGTCTCTCTTGGCTTCCCTTACACTCAAAGGAGAGCCAGTCAATAGAGACAATACTGTTTGTAGTATAAGTCATCCCATCCTAAAGTAAATGCTAATATTTGGTCAAAGGAATCACACCTCTAACTCGGTGAGTACATAGACTAGGAATGCCCAGACATAGAGAAAAATGTTTGAAATATCACTCCTGACCTCCAGCTGCCACTCCAGAAGGTTCATATCATATGTGCCAACATAAATATTTCTGACACTCTAGGGAACCCCCAGGGGACGTTTGCCAGCCCTGCCACTGGTATTTCAAGTACTCCGAGACACTAGACATATACGTTTTGGCAACTGAATCAAACCCTTAAATTCAATTAATTTCACCCAACTTTATGTACAAGGAGGTGTCCAAATCCCAGCTGGTTGTCTAGACTCCCACATTAGTCAACAGGGAGCTTGACTTTCCCTGACATGCTTTGGCAGTGGCCAGGAAGGAATGATCATATACAAAAACAACAGGAAGTGAACTCAGAGTTAATAAATTATATAGTTTGTGGTATCTCAGAAATGTAGTATCAAACACAAACAAATTATTAGAATATTTGCTTGTACTTAATATCTGAGAAGACTGTGATTGAACCGGGCATAAAATCATGTACATGTGAAATTTGTGCAAGAATATCTAGGCACTGAAGACAGACCAGTCAAGGGACAGGTATTTTTCTGTATTATTTAACTGTTATTTATACCTTTTGAAACAATTTTCTCTTCATTTTGCTGGAAGATGCAGAGGTCATTTTAATAAGAAAAGTACAGGAGCCAAAGGCACGAAAGCACCTTTGCTGGGGCCACCTGGCACATGCTGTGGGAATGCAAGAGGGAAGCCACAGAAGCATTGAAGAACAACTTTTCTCCCCCATATTTCATCCAGCCCTTAAAAATATATATGCAATAAGGAGAACGACATTGTGTCAGAAATCTTGCCTTCAGAGACGAAGATGATTTTCTCAGGAAAGTACTTAGAAAAAATAATTTAAATTCCTCAGTGAGGGGAGACATCTAACTTCAGCCATACAAATGCTAGGTAACTATTGCTGAAGAACAAGTTTGTGGTGATTTAGACTGAACTTCCTAGCACTTGAAATATGCTATTCTGCATCTTGATTGATAATGTTACAATAAATGTCTGACTAAGGTGATTGAAATTCTATGGACAGCTACTACCAAAATTTGCAAAAGATTGTGAGTGTAATATAACTATTTTGTATTCTGATAGATAAAAAATAGGTTAAATTATAACTCAATAAGGTTCTGTTGGGCCTTTGGCAGCTGTATAAGCTCATTTTAGATTTTTGTGCCTGACTTCCTTATTATAGAATGGACATAAAATTTCCTTTATCCATTTGCAAAACCAGCAATTTTACATGATCAAGCAGTAGCAATAAGTGAGATCCTAGACCGTTCCAGTTATTTGAGATATACTAATTTATTGCCAGATTAAATAAAACAAAGTAACAGATCAATATACATTGTATAGGGATGAGTAAATTGCTCATGACTTCATGAGCCAAGCTTCCTGTTCTAAAATAAGGGAGATTCCTGTAATTTCTTCAGTCATCATTTACCACCTTGCCTGTCTTGTATCTTATTACTGAAACCTGGTTGACTATATTTAAATTTTCTTATCATGAAGGAATCCAAATTTCCATTAACTTTTACCTTTTTCCTTGAAAAGTTCTTGATCTATGATGTCAATTTTCTGTATTATAATATCACTCATCTCTTTGTTTTACAGTATCCTGCATCTTTGTTTACAGTATCACACCCGTGGCAATCAAGGGCTTGACTGAATTCACATTTTATTTTATTTTTAAATAGGTATGTGAGGTAGAAAAATAGTGCGAAGAGAAAAGAAAAGAAGAGAGGCAATGCAGTGTGACTTCCTTATTTAAATAAAACAGTTTACTTACATAGAACTGTGGTCTTTTGTTGTCATTCAGAAGAAAAGAAATTGTTTTTCTAGTCTTCTCTAACGACATATATGGTGATGGATAGTGGTTTGTGCAGTGTAAGTACAATGAGACCTACAAATCATAGATTTATCAATAATCATAAAACATAACTCAGTATATTCAGAGCACCTGCTTTTGGCTATTTTGCTGTATTTCTGTTCTCAAATTTCAGCATATTCCTGCATTTGGAAGGTTAACCCATATACTGGGAAAGCAAACTTTCCCTCTGTTGCAAAAAAAGCAAATATTTGTCACCACAGGCAGGTTTATTTCTGTCACAAGCATGTGACTTTTTGAAGGTTGAGATAATACCCCAGATTCTGTATCCATTTAGTTAGAATCTCTACAAAGGTTTACTATGCTAATTTTTAAAACCTGATTTTTTTGTTTGTTTGTTTTTTGTCTGACCTCCCCCCCTTTCTTTTTTCCCCTTGAATTTCATTAGGGAAATGCCATGGGTATCTCAAATGATCTTTTCAGACCTAAATGTGTCACAGACTTCACTCTCTGCCAGTGGGATAAGAGCACGGTGAGGTGTATGAAGCTAGGCACTTCTCTGCTTCTCTTACTTTGTGTTTTCTGAAAGTAAGGAAGACTCCATAATGATTATGGGTATGTTAGGAATTAGAATGTGTTTAGTTCTTCATATAAAGGGCAAGATATGCTCTAGCTGGGGGAAATAATAATAATATTAATAATAATAACAATAACAATAACAATAATAATAATAATAATAAAATAAACTTATAGTATCATAGAATCATTGAATCACTAAAGTTGGAAAAGACCTTCAAGATCATCTAATCCAACTGTCTCCCTGCCACCAATGTCACCCACCAAACCATGTCCCAAAGTGCCATGTCCAACCTTTCCTTGAATACCCCTAGAGACAGTGACTCCACCACTTCTCTGGGCAACCCATCCCAATGCCTGACTGCTCTTTCTGAGAAGAAATGTCTCCTAACGTCTAACCTGAACCTCCCCTGGCACAACTTGAGGCCACTTCCTCTAGTGCTATCACTGTGCCTGGCACAACTTGAGGCCACTTCCTCTAGTGCTATCACTGTGAGAAGAGGCCAACCTCCAGCTCCCCACACCTTCCTTTCAGGTAGTTGTAGAGAGCAATAAAGTCTCCCCTGAACCTCTTCTTCTCAAGACAAAACACCAGCTCCCTCAGCGGCTCCTCACAGGACTCGTGCTCCAGACCCCTCACCAGCTTTGTAGCCCTTCTCTGGACAAGCTTCAGGGCCTCAATGTCCTTGTAGTGAGGGGCCCTAAACTGAACACAGTACTTGAGGTGCGGCCTCACCAGAGCTCAGTACAGGGGGATAATCATCTCCCCGGTCCTGCTGGCTACACCATTACTGATACAAGCCAGGATGTCGTTGGCCTTCTTGGCCACCTGAGCAAACTGCTGGCTCATGTTCAGGCAAGCATCAATCAGCACCCCCAGATCCTTTTCCACTGTTCGTTAATAGCCAAATGGAATCATTTGAGGAATCATTTTATCATTTCGCAACACACACAAACAAGTGTACTTAAATAAATAAATGTTTGCCAATTAAGGATTAATTGTTTTCTAATACTCATCTCCTCCCTTTTTGAAGTTCTCTGGGGACTAAAAAGTACCTCTTGAACAAAATCAGTAATTGCTTTTTTTTTGCCATTTTTGCCATTTTTGTTAGTTTGCCATTTCTTAGTAATTACAGATCAGTTTGTAATTTCCTTGGGGCAGGGATCAAGCACTGTTGTTTTTTCTTGGAAAATGCACTAGAAACATTTTGGCTACAGAGATAAATAATAAATATAAGGTCATAAATAATAAATAATAGCAAATATCAATGTTTGGGGGCAGCTATTTATCTTGTGTAAAAACATATAACTTCTGCCAAAAATATATGGTGACATCAGTTTGTACAACAGAAACAATGAGTTTTTTCCAGAAAGGATCCCATTTCACTCAGTGGACCTGCTCTACTTATCACCTGCACTCTGTATATGATAGCTCAATTAGAGTGTACAAATTAGTTTTCTTTGTGGGAAAAATCAAATGCACTCAACACTGTATAGAAATATGTCAGTCTACATCACTTGGTCCAACTACCCTGATTTACTCCTTGGTTCCATTTTATTGATTGACTGATTGGAAATAAAACCTTGGATGGCTTAGGTGAGGTGCACCTATATGTCCAAACCATCTCCAAACTGCTGCTAGCTTATGAGGAGCTCACCACACAACACTGTACATTCTTGAAGATATCTAAGCACCTGAAAGTGTTACAGGCTGTGCTGCTTAGAAGTTGCAGTAATGATGCACAAAAGTGCTGTAGTTATTAACTGTTCAAATACTGTCAAATATAATGTGACTGTCCTTTGTCTTTTTGCAGTGTCACTAACAGGAAGAGAGTGCAAAAACTTGAAAAGGATTAATTAAACTTCCTCTACAGTTTAACTAACAGCAGAAGATTGTTATTGAGCTGGGATATTATGGTTTAGCCTAAGAAAGCAGCTAAGTACCACACAGCTGCTCACTTACCCTCCCCACATGGGCTGGGGGAGAGTGTAACTTAATGCAACACACAGGACCATCCAAAATCAAATCATATTTCTGAGAGTATTGTCCAAATGCTTCTTGAATTCCACCAGGCATGATACTGAATTTTATTTGCTTCCAAATATTCTCACCTATTTTAACAAATCATACTCTTTTAAAATTCTTTATGAAATGAAAACAAATGCAGATAGTTTTCTTTTTGTAAAATAGAAAAGTGAGAAAAATACACTTTGAATTGTGGACAAAAAGTGTTATCAATTATTTACTGCATAAAATCAAAATAAAAAATATTTCAAACCACATCAAAAAACATAACAAGTAGAAGAAAATAGTTGTTATTGTCATTGTTATTATTATTATTCCTTTTTGACTTTGATGTATCACACTAAACAATAAAAGCTATGTACATTTATAAAAAAAAAAAAGTACATATTTTTTCACTAGTGTAAATACATATATATAACCATACATCTATTATATTAGTGTAAAAAAAAAAAAAAGTCTTGATCATAGTGACTCAAACATTAAAAAAAATATCAAAATCTAGATATCACTGAGGAATTGGAGGTCTGATCATATCTTTTAATGTATCTTTTAATAAACCCTTATCTGCCTGGCAACATCAGCTAGAGAGATATTTCTGAGAATATACAACATGACACCATGAGCAGTTGCCATTCATGGCACACTTCTCTGAAGGGCTGCCTACAGGTCCTGACCATATCCTATGGAAGTAGGTTCCTAGATCTCCTTTCAGTGCAAGGAAAATGCTTTATTGGGGAATTACAGCAGAGACACAGTTAAAACCATAGGTTTTAAAATCATAGGTTTTAAAATCAAAATTAAGTTTGGATTATGGCCCTCTGAAAGACTTTTCACCTAGAAGGTTGTGCTGCGATCCACCAATTATATGTACCACCATAATGTGTTTTCAAGTGCTTGTTAATAATTTTTTTCTTTAGTATAGATAATCTGAGAGTATTCCTTTAATTACATTTTGATGCAAAAATGATATATCTTCTGAATCTGAAGGTTGTATAAAACATATAAGGTGGGATAAAAGAAAGAGAGAGAAACATGTAATGTTTGGAAACCTGAATTTAAATGCAAAGCTTAAAATAAAATAAAATAAATAAATAAATAAAAATAAAAATAAAAATAATAAATAAATAAATAAATAAATCTTATAAGCTGTGCCAAAAGGATTTTGGAAAGCAGTCAGTCAGGAATATGCTCTACTCTTGGAAAGCTAGGAAAAGAAACAACCAGACAGTTAAGAAGTAACTTCTGTCTATGTAGTGTAGAAAGACGCTACTACCAACTTTTGGTCAGACTGATTTAAAATTATTCTCCTTAATTTTAATTGCAAGCACTTGCTTTGGTTACTTGTGACCATGCTTTTCATATTCTAGTCATATATTTCCTTTAGTCAACACTATTTTTTTTCTTATTCTCCACACTCACATTTTCACCATGTCCTTTTAAAAAAAAAAAAAAGCTGCAAAAATTATTGGCCCAAATCCAGTATTTATGTCCAACTTCTGGCAATAAGTCATTTGGCACATCTTTTCTCACAATCCCCAAGTGGCAGGTTTGTGCATTACAGCTGATCTCAGTCCAAAATCCATGGAGTTGTACCCTTGGCCATCTGTTCTGCATCGACATTAGGGTGGAAGACTTTTTTAGGCATGTTTAGCTCATTTTTCAAGATGCATTATCACTTGCAAAGCAACTTTTCTACCGAGAGTTTTGATTCAGTTAAAAGGAAAATCAAGCCTTGGCACAAACTTGCCATCTGTACTTAAGAAAATCTTCCTTATCTATAAGCCATAGAACAATCAAGTACATTTCAATAAATAAATAAATAAATAAATAAATAAATAAAATTAGTCAGCACAAGAAACCAGAAATCCAAATCAGAGAAGAGCTGTGTGACAAAGACGGCCTTTCACACTTCACCACCAAAACCAGCCTCTGCCTTTACAAATTTAGAACATCCCTTGGTGAAGGGAAAACTCCACACAACATCTGCATCTAGAAAAGATACTGGATAAATGCTGTGTTAAAAGTCTCACTATCTTCTCCTTAAGTGCATCAAAAGCCTTCTAAAGACATTATTATTAAATATGACTATTAAATTAAAGTGAAAGAGTCGGGGTGGAAGGGTGAATCCTAACTAGAACACTGAAGCTAAACAATCTACAGCCTAGCTGAATGTCAAGGTACCCACATAAAAAGCTATGTACCAGATGAAAAGGCATGTAATGAAGTCATTGATTGCAGTTTGTCAGCCAAGCCACAGATCTCGGAAAGGTGGAAAGCTAAAAACATCCCACACCAAAGTAACATTACATTACAGAGGAAGTGAATATCAAAGGTGCTTAACATTACACATCAAAGCCTGCAGCCAGGAAAATGCATCATTAGGCAGCCTTAGAAGGAATGGAACTACAGAGCATCAAAAATTGAAGGATCAACAGAAAAATGGATTACAATTATAGGTAAAATGTGATCTCTGTGGTCTTCTCTGGGAAAACACAACTTACAGTAAGGAATAATTCACATCAAATATAATTTCATAATTTGATTTACCAAGGCATCTGCATCTGCTCTGTTCTTCTGCTTCTTCCAGATCTTTAAGATGGGATAATACAT